TTTGGCAAGAGAAGCTTGTTCTACTGCCGTTGCGTGATGGGATCACTCGATCGCGTTCAAGAATACCAATATTCGCTTCACGAGAGAACCACGCCTTTCTTTCTCATGCGATCGCCGTTCCCAGTTTCGAGAATTGAGCTCCTGGAAGTCCCTGACTCGATTATGTCCAATACTTGATCCTCTGTATTTGGAAACCGAAAATGGATTGCCGTCCACTATCTTCCTCTCTAACCACTCTCCTCGCCCTTTGTTGGCGTGAGTTCTTTTAGCTTCTGCTATGTTACTGTAGCATTTCCCCTAAACTAATCGCATATTCGCAAAGGAAATTCAAAGTAAGTCACAGTTTGATAAATTATTATTATTATTGACAAGAGCTATCCACCTGTCACTATCTGTTAGTGACAAAAACATTATTGCCACTATGACTTTTCATCAAAAAATTGTAGAAGAGAACTTTTTTGATATAAAAAATTTTCGTAATTTGAAGTAAATATTCGTAATTTTGTTTAGTATTTCAATATGCTACCAATTAAACATGGAACAATTTCAAAATAATGCTTAATAACAAAGTTGAAATTCGATTTTCAACTGTTAACATCTAGAAATTTTCAAAAAAAAATTTACAATATTTTTCTCGTGCTCCCTAAGGGAGCCTCTCTCACCCCTTAAAAGGTATGACGCCAATTTTGAAGTACCCTGTATAAAGCAAGCTTAAACCGCTCTAGAATTAGTTAGTTATCGAGCTATTAACTTATCGAATCAAGGCATAGCAGTGCAGATATTTGCCAGTAAATTATTGTTGGTTATTGAAAAATAGAGCGAGTTACTGGAATCTTTCGAACCTCAAAAACGTAACAATATGTTTGCCATCTTTAAAATATACTTAGTGTGTGTGTGGCACTCGTACGCCACTGTAGAGACCGATCGTTTAGCAGATCCATAAGTCAGGCTGGCTAAAAAATGTAAGTTAAGGCATCCGACCCATGGTTTCGATAAATTTGGGATCGGCCCTAGATTCCGGATGCTTGGCAGTATCGGGCGGGGGAGTTAGCACTTGTATATTTATAGTTATGCAAGAGTTTGAAAATTGGTTTTACGACTGTCATTAATGCCACGAAGCCTAGGGAGGTGCGCGGAAGTTTTCCTTTATGGTCGATTAAACGGCTTGCGGTCGTAAACTTTATTCGCCCTGTATAGCTGAATTTTCTCGCTTTGTTTTGACGCTAATGAAGATAGTGAGTGGGCTTAGATTGGCTCGAATATTTCCCAAAAGTTAAACGACATTTGAATGTTCTTCCTGAGATACAATTTTCTGGAGAAAATATTCCTGTACTCTCAAATCCGGAAAATAAGATTGCACAGTTTTATTGTAATTCTCAAGTCATCCAGTTTATTTATGAAGCATAACAGCTAACATTTCATATGCCGATTTAATGTCCAGGGTGAAGTAGTTCTGTCCAAAACCTAGCTGAATGTAAGTGAAGAAGGGAGATGAAGGTTACTTTGACGTTTGCCAACTGCTGTCAGTGGCTATTGGAAGAGTTTTTATCTTCTTTATGCCTATTCAGCCTATCATTGGTCACCATTTTTAGGGGTTTGAAGTAATATAAAGATAAAGTACATATTAAGTCCATGTAACTCCATAAATAGACGATATTTATTCCATACGTACGTCATATCAGAATGTTTCTTATTTTACATCCCTTCATGTCTCCCATTTATAATTCGCAACAAATTTGTAAAATATGATCATGAAAATTTGAAATCACTATGCATTAATTAATTCTATACAAATACATATTGATCATTTTGAGCTGTTCTATGATAATCTGAATGTAGTGCATACCTAGAGGCACTGGATGCATCTGATGTTAAATAAAAAAAGCTCAAACCCAGCACACAAATGGTCCGTGGGACGTTCTATTTTGATCCCCGTTATCCCGCATGGGATGATCCTTGGTAGGATGTCCGTAGGACGTCCCTTGTATCGCACATATATCTCATGCAGATCTCATTTTTGGTCCCAGGGACATCATGAACAGGACGTATATGCAGTAATAGTAAATGGCGCGCTCGAAAAAAGCTATACGCTTTATTACACACTTAATATAAAAGTATGTATATACCATAAAACCGAAATATAAAAAATGGAATTCACTCAACTTAGGTATCGGACATATATACTTGTATATGCATAAGATAACTATAATTATTATATACTTTTATAATTGTAATAAATAATAGAGTATATATATAAATAATAATAATAATAATAATAATAAATGGATTTCAAAAGGCGAATATAAAACAGTTCACAAGACGAAAAGCAACCGTTTTATCGTTTATGGCTTTAACGCCCTCGTGGTGCCATGGAACCATAAATTTTCCTTAATAAAGGCAGAGTCGAACACATGTTGTCGTGCGGACAGACCGACCACAATTTAATCAAATATGTGTTAATGTTAGTTTGGGGTAGTTATTACAAATATACAGGGTGATTTACGGTCTATGGCGTATTAGACGTTTAAGGAGAACGCGATTAACGATCTGTCTGCAAATTTGTACAATGTAAAATTATAACCGCACGATAAACCTC